AAAAAAAAAAAAAAAAAAAAATCAGCAATAACGCCACTCCCCGTGCTTTCAAGTAGCGTGCCTCGGACTATGACCCACCGAGATTCTAAGGTTTGCCTTCGCAGTTGAAATGTTTGAGGCATGCTTCTGCGCTCAGGTATGACCCCGTCTACACTGTGTTCCTGAAGCAGAAAGTCTTTACACAAGAAGATGAGACAACCACAGAGGAGGTTTCGACAAGGGTGTTCTGCTGTGAGATTTTAATCTGGTTGTTGGGAACTCGGGCTTGTGTTGATTTTTTTGGGCGCTGATTCAGAAAGTACTACAAGTAAGGGCAGATACCGGCAGCTTCTGCATCAGCAGGAATAATGTCCAAAGTATTAGAGGAAGTCATTTGCGACTACGAGGAAATCATTTAAGCTAGGCTTCTGAATATGTGCGAGGAAGTCACATAGGGTGCAGCAACTTGCGAGTCGTCCCCGATTCCCGATGTGGGGTTTAGGGTTGAGGGTTTAGAGTATAAGATGTCTACCTCCCATCCTGGTTAATACTGCGAACTGTCTCTGTGTGTTTGTCTATCTGTCTATCTAGACACCGACAGACAGACATAGAGACAGACACATAGACAGACTTACACACACACACACANNATATCTATATGTGTATATACATATATATATATGCGTATAGGTATATCTGTCTCTTCAGATACAACGAAAGGGAAAGGCATATGCGGCATATGCATATGCATGCACATATTTATGTTTGTACATGTGTATATATATATATACAAGTATATTTTTTTGTGTCTGAGTATAAGTATATGTACATGTATGTGCATATGTATGTGCACATGCGTGTGTATCTGTGTCTGTGTATGCCCGTTTGTTTGTATGTACGTGTGGTACAATGTCCATCCATGCATGCATGCGTGCATGCATGCTTACACACATAATGCATATGTATATACATATATATATATATATACATATGCATAAATACACCTTACCTGTTGTTTTGCATACATGTATATATATATATATGTATGTATACATATGTCTGTCTGTCTGTCTGTCTGTCTGTCTGTCTGTCTGTCTGTCTGTCTTGCATGTATGTGTGTATGCATGTATGTATGCTTTTCTGTAAGCACTGCATATTTGGTTGTAAATGTGTTCATAGGTTTGTTGTTGCTACACAGACACAGACAAACATGCGCATGTATACATGCATGCACGGGGAAATATAGTTTTCGTGTGCATACAGACATACCCGTATAAATATATATATATATACACATACATACATACGTACATACATACATACATACATACATACATATTATGTACGTTTCTTCCTCCGCCGCAAGAAAGTCCTGCGTTGCGCATGAGCAGCTAAGCCGGCATCTTAAAGATGCATGTCGGTCATGTTGATCGACATCCCAGGGAGTGCAAAAGTATGGCTTCTTTCAAACAAGTGAAAACAAA